CACACACACACACACACACACACACACACACACACACACACACACACTCTTTCTCACTCTCCTCTCTCTCCCACCGGTCTCTTCCTGTCCTCTCCTCTCGCCTCTCTGTAGAGGGTCCAAGTGACATTTGGCTGTCCCCTGCCTCCGGGGGGGTCCTGGAGATGCAGACGTTTTTGGCAGGCGGGCACAGGGGAAGCCTAGGGGTCCTGATGGGGGTGGTGGTGGGGTGGGGGGGGGACTCCTGGACAAGGAAGAGAAAAAAAAAACAAAAAAAAAGAACTAGACCCTGAGTCACAAACATGCTCCCATTTTTTCGGGGGTGACACATGTTAAATATGTGTGTGTCCACACACACATTAGCTCACGAATCGACTTCAAAAAAAGAAGAGAAACACCCTACCTAGTTTGCAATCTCATATTTGAGATGGTTCAAAAGGCCCCCCTTTTTTTTATAATCTGTTCGAGACAGCAAATTTGGAAACAGGGGAGAAACGCTTTAGAATGCTAACAGTTAACAGGAAAAACAGGGGAAAAAAAGACTATCCGAGCGAGGTTTAAAACTTTAAAAGCTCAAACAAGCCGATTCTACTGTTTAAAAAGTCTTTTTTAACACGGGAAGTCAGGTTGCTTGTTAACACGTGTCACGTCACGTCCATTTTCATGGAAACGTTCCATTTCGTGTCCTCAATCTTTTTTTTTAAGGCAGGTTTTATGGTTCAGAATGTGGCCTCGGACACTTTTTTTCCCCTCCCGTTATTTTCTAATGAAAAGAGAGTCGCTCGTTGGATGTCAGTAGCAAAAAAATTTTTTTTAATGCAAGTTAAAAAGGCTTTTTTTTGGATTTCCTTATCATGAATTTGACATGAAATGACCATCGTCTGGATCTTTTGGTTGAATTTTGGCTTTTTAAAAAATTATTTTAGAAGGAATCTGACAGAAATGTGGGAATCTTTATTAGAAAAAAGCCATCACTTTGTGAGTTTATATCTAATTTATTCACATAACAGGCACAGAAGAATGGTAACAGGTGTCCATACAGGTGTTCATATACATTTAAAAAAAACAACAACACAGATTTATCTAAAATGAGTGTAAAAAAAACACATCCAAAGGCCCGTTCTGACTGACAGTCCTCTTTTCCGTCTATTTTCTCTCTCTTTTCCACTCCGGCTCCATCTCCTGGCTCTCTCTTAAGAGAGATAATACTGTGGTCATCATCGGGGGGGGGGGGGATAGAGAGATAGAGATGGAGAGGGGAGATGGAGATGGAGAGCGGGGCTAATTGCAGGGTGTCGTAGGCTCGATCCACTGTGTGTGTGTGTTGTTTTTTATTCATTTTTTTTTCCCGGGGCCGGTATAATTACGCGGTATAGCCGCAGATGTTCCCCCCGCCATTGTTGGGGTGTTTGGGGTTTTTCGCGGATAGACAGGGGGGAGACGGAGTGATGGGGGGGGGGACTCCGGGCAGCTGCAAACTTCTACGCGACCACTTTCTCCCCCCCTTTATTTGTTCATCTCCCTTTTTTTATTTTATTATTTTTTTGTTAACCCATTATTTTATTCATCTCTTTCAATCCATTATCAAAGCGACCCCTTTTTATATCCGCGCCTTGAGTGTCGATGGCTGATAGGGGTGTAAATGCTCTCTCTCTCTCTGTGTGTGTGTGTCTAGGTGTGTGTGTGTGTGTGTGTGTGTGTGTGTGTGTGTGTGTGTGTGTG